AAGAATTGTCATGAAAATATAAAACTTACTAAATCAATTATTTTTATCATAAATATTTTTATCATGGCAAAAACGAATAATAGTAAATTTTTTTTAAAAAAAAATGATCGTATTTCCATAAGTAAAAAATAATTTGACTTCACAGGTTACTTAAAAATGTAAAATCGGGTCCTTTTAGAATGAATTAACACAATATACGAATAAATAAATAAATATTTTATCAAATGCACTGAAACTTTTAGTAAAAAGCGTAGGAAACGATAGAAATTAATAAGATCATGCTTTCATATTAGAATTATTATTTTATTATGCCGCATAAAGTTTTTTCATTTTTATAAAGTATTTTATTATATTTGTAAAATCCTACTTGCCACATAAATATTTTGGTTCTGGGTACAATTTTTTTTTTTCAGGGCGATGCTTTGCTTTTTTTCGATAATTATCTGTTATAAATTTTGGCAATTTACATTGATCGTAGCTTTAATAAGTAAATGGTAAGTGTAAATAAGGACCATTCTTTTTAAATGTCATGAACTTTGCGCAATTTGACATTTTCTATCTTTACGAAAGGTCAAAGTATTGTGAAGTTATAAGTATATTATAATTTATTATTTCTTAATTATAAAAAAAATCTTAATTGCATGTTAAAACTGTTGGAACTCTATTAAAAAAAAAGACTTAAAAAATTCAATTCATAAAAAAAAAGAATAAGATTTACTCTACATCTAACAATGATTTTTTTTATTTTTTTTTTAAAAAAAAAAAAAAAAGTGTAAAGTATGCAGTTAGTTCCCCCGTATTCTACCCTGAAAAATGGATTAATTCTTGTTAACTATAAAATCCGCAAGACACAAATGTTCTTTGCAATTGAATATTGATAATTTATTTTACCTTATTCCATCCAAACCCGCACATACTTGCGAGATAAATTTTAAAGCATCCTCAAATGAATCTCCAATTAGAGTGCTAAAAATATACGTAACATTGTCAATATCTGATGAATGAAAGATTTCGAAATTGAAATTTTTATGCGAAAAAAAAATAATCCTACCTAAACTCTATCTCCAAAAATTGTGGTTTCCTTCTTGGACGGGTTTGGATAGGGATAAGGACCTCCCGACTTTAATGGGTTGGTTATTATATGAATTTGGACTCCCATATTAAATGGGTTTGATAAAGGGAAGGTTAGGGTTAGAGGAAATTAGGTTTCCATCTATCGGGGGTCGGGGGGATTATAAGTTCATAATTATATTTACTTAATTATTGTTGGATATACAGTAGGGTCAAGGTCAATTTCCTGGTCATATTTATAACAAAGGTGGCCTTCATATGATTACACTTTCTTTCCTTTTTTTCTCTTTTCCTTCTTTTTGTTTTGTTTGTATTTGGCAAAATTTTTTTTTTAAAAAAAAAAGAACAACGCCATCAACGCCGTCAACTTTATTAATGGGAAAATGTTATTAAAAAAAGGGGGTAATGTGATTATTCGGAGCCTAATTGAGGCTAGATATGGAAATACAAGCATTATCAGTGTATCAATCAACCGAAACAATTGGATCAAAGTTATCACATTGATATTTATCACACCTTTCGAGTAATTATAAATGGGTGATGTGAAAAATTACGCGATAATTGCTTTTTAAAAGGGATCCAGTTAAACAGTTCATTTAAAGTTTATAAAAGACCATTTTTAGCATGTATTAAATTATTTCTTGCATATGTATTGTTCTCAGAATAAAATTATGCAATCGTGAATTTTAAATTATAAATTATTGGTAATTTATAATATTATAGTTTTATCTATTTTGAACTTACTCAGAATCTTTGCGCCCAAAAGTTTAGAATCAAGTTATTAATAATCAAGTTTCCATTTATCTTATTATGGGTGAATTGTTTCGGCAACTTAACATCCGGAATGAACGTTTTCATTATTGTTTTATTTTATCTGAGGAGGTTTGGAAGTTTGTACATTCATATACACATGAAATGTTTTAAAACGTTGATTGATAAGGGGTTTTTCTTGTTTGTTTACCCTTAAAATAATTCTCATGTATTTACATATGATTATTTCAACTTTTACTATTTTTGATCGAATCTGTGTAATATTATTTATCAAGGCGAGAGACTTATCATTGTTACAATCTTCCCACCTACTTATTACTTATCATACCAACAATAAGCTCGACGTTTTACGTTCATTTGGTTTAAAAATGGGAATTTCGTTATCTAAGGTTTTTTATTGGCATAGAGTACATATTAATGCATACAAGTTTTAACGCGTTAAAATTAATCGACTACCTATTGGATATAGAATAAGTTCAGAAGTTCCTTTTTTTTTTGCTAAACCACAAAAAAAAGGAGACAAGTGTTTTTAAAAAAAAATGCGACGTAAACCACCGAACATCTACACTGCGTATTCTAAGAAAGAAAGAGAGACCAGTAATGAAAAAAAAAATGGTTTTTTAGTATATTTTTGTTAGTGAAAATAATAAAATTACATGATTATTCCAAATCAACTTCTGAAAAATAAGTTTAGCTCACATTTAAAGTTGAACACAAAAAGGAGGAAAGTAATTATCTTTTAGTAAAATGATCTCAACTCTATTAAAATTAAAGTTACTGTATCAATTGGAATTCACAAAATTTTACCTACGGATATAACAATTTAGAGGATTTTTTAATGCATGAATTGTGCCAATGAGATATATATATTAAAGTTTGATTTTTGTTTTTATCATTTTTTTTATCGAACCCGTTTAATAATTTATTAATAAAAAAAATAATGTCTGACGTTACTGTTTCCTTTTTTGGAAATGGATTATACGCGTAAATACTTGTTTGTTTAATGGAAATAACCGATGTTATACATTGAAATTCTTTCTCAAATAGATATTATGAGTATATGTGAATGTATATATATATATATTTGGTTTAAGGGGGCTTCGCATTAATATTGTTGTAAAAGGGCAGGGTATATTACAAACCGAAGATTTACTCGAGACATACGCAATAAATCAAATTGATCAAACCTTTTATTTTACAAATCGAATCGAACGTTAAACCAAAATATACTTTGTTTTTATTGTTTATATATATTTATTAACAGTTATTATAAAAAATTATATACTGTAAACTGTCAATGTCTAAATATGTTTTATGTATTATACAAAAGAGTACATGCATGTTGCCATCAATCATACTCGTGTTTTCGTGGAGTTGTGAGACGTGTTATGTATGGACAATGAATATACAAAAAATACTCAGATAATGCATAATAATACTTTTAAACATATGCAGGGGTAGAAATATGCTAATTAAAACTCGTTTCTCACGAAGACCATGATTTTCGGGTTTAAGTGGTTTAAGTTAATATTACACAAACATGAGTGATCAAGTAATTTCAGAGTGGAAGAAATTTTATGAGCATTCGATTATTATGGCTTAAGTCCAATTTATTTTGCTTTATTGCATTATAATGCTCAAGTATTTTTTGATATAATTCTTCCGCTCATCCAAATTGTTGGAATTTATGTAAAGACTAAACTAATAATGTAACTAATTGATACTAAAAAATTTATTGAGGTATTATGTATGAACTTTGTAACACAGTATCTAAATTACTGTATAAAATAAAATTTTATATAATTATAATTTTACTTATAATAAATTTTATTAATTTTTTTTATAAAAAAATTGTTTTCAATCATTAAAGTACTTAAACAATCAATTGTCATATTTAGCGATGAGTAGTATCTCGCTCAATGAATAGGTATCTGATATATATTTTTCTAACCAATTAAATTACTTAAATCTATCAATTGAAGTGCTTTATGTTTTAAATGTTCTAAATTATAAATAATCCATCCTCTTTAAACAGGCAAAAAACAAATAAATCATTGATTCACCACTTCGAATTGTGAAAAAAAAACGGTCCAACTTATTCTCATAGATTTGTAAGGTGTTTACTATGACTTATTGTCGACTAGTTCGATAAGCTTCGTAAGACGGGATTATTATACGTTCGGCAGTAGGACAATACCATCCGGATGGTGGTGATGGAGGAAAAAGAAAGAGTAATGCTCACGATATTACAAGATTGTTTGCATCATTACATACATATATTGGTGATCTTACTTCTTTCCATAATTGAACAAAACTTGCGTCAAGCAATATGGCCCTTGAAATTACATTAAATTGTCTTATTTTCAAAACCATTTTTTGGTGAAATTTCTTCCGGAACCACAAGGATGTTGATGAGGATCAATATCGTAATTTAATTGATGTTTACTTGGTCTGCGGGGGAACGGGACGAATTTATTCTTTGAGATCAAATCTTTATGAGATGGTAATTTTTTTACCATCGACATTTAACAAGATCTCTTGAATTGCTTGCATTACTATAAATGAAAAAAAGAACATTAGAATAAAAGAATTTTATTTATCAAAAGCTCTTTATTTTACTTTTACTTTTATGGTTTCTTACTTTGCAATATATTAATCATTAGATATTCTAACAGCCCTTTAGACCGAAAGGTTCCATTAATGTTTCTATCTGTGTTGTGAGTCTAAAAGGTATTAATTCTGGAAGTCATAATATTTCTGTTGATGCATAACAAAAATTAATAGATATCTAATAATAAAGATAGATTCGTCAAATTATTAATAATTTATTCACATCAATATATCGTACATTAATTAAATATTCTCACGTTGTATCATTTAAGAAATTTTCTAAATGTCGATCTCCAATACCAATAAGATATCTGAATATGTTGATTGCCGCACTTTATTAATTCAGATCGAATCGATAAATGTGCATCAGGAAAAGCAGCAAGCTTGTATAGTGCCTTTTTTAACAAGTCAATTTTATCATTGTTGAAATGTTGCACATCATCATGCTTTGCATTCATAAATTTATTATGATATCTATTTTCAAAATAAAATACAAATTAAGATCGTATCGAATATAGTATTCAAATATAACTCATTATATTTCATACCTAGGAATGACTCGATTGTGCATCAGCAAAGATTTTTTGGATCATTAATTTCCTTTTGAATAAAGTGAAAGCATAGTCCCGTATTATCAATCCATTCGATGAGCCGTTATTGGCATATCCTATAAAAAAATAGTAAGTATATTTTAATAATAATTTAAACAAAAGTGTATAATTTAAGTAGGATAACTTTGTAAGTCATGTGTGATATTATGTTGAGAACAGAAAGAATCCCTTTTCAATATTTCGTTCTTAGGTGAAAATAGTTGCTGAACACTCTCTCTGATCTAATATATTATCATCATCTCCCTTCAAAAAAAAAATCGTATCGAACTTGAGAATAAAGGACTTACTTTCACAAGAAATATATTTACTACCGTTCCCAGCATAATAGTTTGTTTTGTTTACGTAATGAAGGCAATACCAAATTCGTGGGTCCGAAATGTATTTAATCCATCATATTGTCCCGGAATTTCAATTTCCTACAAATAATAAAATCATGCATAATTAAGAAATGAAAATCTTTGTTTTTAAGCTCATAAATAATTCATTCGTATTAATACCTTTTCAACATTCGAAAGGGTAAGATTACGCTTCATCTTGTGCCTTTCTATTTTGACGTTTAATATTTTTTTAAATTGTAATCCCAATATTTTTGTTTCCATTTCCTTTGAGACAAATTTGCTTATAATGAACCGTCTCTTCCGCCTCTTTATATAAAATTGCAAAATAATTAATCAAAAAAAAAAAGAATTTTTTTATTGTTCAATATATAAAAAATAACTCTTACCACAAACGATAAACAAATATTCGGAAATAAAGATGCCAAAATCCCCTCAATAATATTAAAGGATATCAATATTAAAGGATATCAAATCTTCCATGATGAGAATTAGGAATTAATAAAAATGCACTCATTTCTTGGCAAGAAGCTTTTATTTCTGCGGGTTCTTACCACCTGCAGAATTCGTCGTCAAATTTTATAGAATTCAAAGAACTAGTTCGAAATTCTAATTGAAATTTCTGCTTAATTTTATATAAATACACATAAACTGATCGTGCCCAATTTTGAAAACACAACGAGCTATAGATCGCAACAATTTGAGGAATCCATCGAATAAACTTCCATACAGAATTAATAGATTCGACTATAGAATTTATATAATGTTACTATAGTTTATTATAAATGCAATGAATGATCAATAACTTAAATAAGCGCTTGCCTTCTCTTCAAATTCAGATCGCGTATTATTATATTTTTTTCAATAATTTGAAGCAATCTTGGAAACATCTCGGTTGCTTCTTTGAGCCAGCTTCCATTGCTTGCAATTTATTTTCTACTACATTAAAAGCATATTGTGTACGTTCAAATATAGTGGGCTATGAAAAAAAAAAATGAATAATAGAATTATATTTTAAGACAGTATATAAAAACATGCAAATAAGAAAGTTAATATTTTTAAATAATAATCCATATTATACCATTTGCTCCTCAGTAGATTCAAGTTTATGCAAAAAGTGATCGCAAAATTTAGAAACTTGAAAGCTATTAAATAAAGAAGTATTAAAAAAAGAAGATTAAATTGGTAAAATTATAAAAATTACATTAATTTCTGTATTTACCTTTGCTGTAATACATAATCTTTGGTTGCGTCATTAAAAAGGTTATTTATATTATTTTTAATTCTATTAGGAAACTTCTTATATACTCCGCAATTATAAGTCCGTATGTATCGCTTTCTATGAGTCATTTATATCATCCTAAGATACGAAATTGAAAAGGAAAACTATTAAACCTGTTAGAATAGAATTAACAAAAATAATAATTTAATTTTAACTAACCTTAATGTCAATAATATTTCTGCTTTTTTTCGCTATCAATTGCATTTTAGCTTCGCGAAGGCTCCATTTAAACCGATAATTAGTCAATTCTCCTCGTCAATAAGTTTCAAACTTCTCAAAGTTTTCCTTGTTTTCGCGCGGCTGATGACATTTCAAAAATTTTGGCACTCTAATGAAACTTGTATTCTATTAAACTAATAAAATAAAGTTTATTTAAATACAATGACTCTAATAAATAAAATGTAATTTAAGTTAATACTCACATTTTTTACACTTATCTAATCGGCCATTTTCATTGAGAATAGATTGACGAGTTATCATCCCATATATTGGAGGTTTTTGAAGGAAATCTAAAATAAAAAGGTAATGAAAATCAATTATTTGCAAGCAATACGTTGAATATGTCTACGGGTTGTTTTTTAATTTTACCTCCTCATCCAACGCGATGTGTTTCAAGTTTTGATTACTTTAGAAGAATGATGAAGATTTAAACATTCTTCGATTTCTACAGTTTGTAATGATTTTTTCGTTTATAGTTTATTGCTAATTAACAAATCATATCAAAAGAACATTTTTTGATACGTATGTTCTGCAACAACATCGATCATATCAGTTAAATTTGCGCTTTGTTGGTCAGATTTACTTTGAAGCTGAATAGCATCTGGACATGTAATAATTAATATTTGATAAACTAGAAAATAATAAAAATGATCTATGATTAAATGAGGCACGTATAAGTTAATGTTAAAAAATTTCGCTACTTACATAATTTAGACTTTTTTTTTTGCATATTTCCTTTATCCTTGAGGTAAAACATCAAATAATAAATGTTCAAACGTATTAACACAACAACGCATACAATCATAATTTATTCGCGGAAATAAATCATCAAAGTTCCAACTTCACGTTCGATTGTCTCCATTAATTGATGGAAGATTTATTCATTCTCGCCCAATATAACAGTATGCCTCAATAAAAATGTAACTTGTGACAGCGAATATTTAATTTCAGTTTTAATCCAAACTAAAAAAAAGATAATAATATATTAAAAATAATGATGATATAAAGAAATATTTGACAATTTTAGTGCAATGCGTACTTTAATAATATTGGTTTCCGCTTCCCTTCTTATCTAATCTTTTGGCTGAAGCAGCGAAATAACCAACGCCACGAACTGCTATAGACAAATCCTTTTTCTTGCTTCTTGTTCCTCCTCACTTAGCGGTTGATCTGGTATTTTTTTTTTTTTTTTGCTTTCTCTTGCCATATCATATTATCAAATACTAGCATAAAATTCTATAAAAAATTTACGAAAATTTTTAAATAAAAAGATATTACGTGTATTTGTATGGTTTTGTATTTTGCAATCTAAGATAAATATATCAAATGCATATATTTCACTTTTTCTTGTAATTTATAAATTAAATAAAATAAACTTCGATAAACAAACCTGTCTCAAAAAGCCCAAATAGCTTTAAATGTCGTGTTCCTACTTCCTGATTACGATAGACACATAATTTCCTTATTGAATAATCAATTATGTATTGAAGTCCGGCTGATATAAATAACAAATATAATTAATGATCATGAAAATACGACCATGAAAGTAAATTTTAGATACTACCTTTTGTTATATTATACATTATTCATTAACAAATATTGTGATGCTATTCATAAAACATTTAAAGACATGTGCATCTTGATTTTCCATTTTTCATTAATACGAGTAGGCAAATAAAAAATTAATTAATTAATACATAAACATTTTTAGTAACTTTTAATTATGAAATTTATGTAAATATACCTTTGGTACTCTTTATTCTTAAGAAAATCTCAAGATATCTGTAAAATAAATGAATGAATAACTGTTAAAGCGATTATTCAGATAATTCTTGAAGATTACAACGCAATTACATCCTCGAAATTGAAGTTTCACAATCAATAAAATCTTACTTGAATAAAGTATTGTCATCATTTGCTTAAAAAACGCTGCCTTTCAAAAGCTTCACTATAATCATTGAAAATTCCAAAGTATACATAAATTTGTTTTATTGGATTTTACTTGTAAAATAAATAAACATGAACCTTGCATATACAGTGAGACCTCTCTAAATGCACCCCTGTGCATTTAAAGAGAAAAATTTGTGATATCTTTATATACTTGGGGCTGCGTGGAGTGTGCAATTATAGAAAAAATAGATAATGCGTGCATTTAGGGAGGTGCATTTAGAGAAGTCTACACTGTACATTGTTCAATTCAGATTTTGGATAAAGAAAAAGAAATTCTAATAGAAAATATCGATACCTTTTATCATATGATACATGGCGCAATTAATCGAAATTATCTTCACGTGATTTAAATATTTTCGCGTAGATGGAATCTCAATGCATTATAAGACGTATAATTATTATTTAATAAAATTCACATCTGATGTTATAAAATCAGTTTGAGAAAAAGAAACAATTTTTATTGCATAGTTAAAAACGTATATAATTTGAGTTAGTTCACTTAATGATTTGATTCATTTTTTTTTGATAAAATCTATTTATTATATACAGTAGCTCGGAAAACAGATTTTAAATTATGATATGTTTAAGTACTTTCACTATTATGC